TGGTTTCCTTGCTGCTGTTACCAGGTGTGCCAAGGAGCCAGTTCCGATTCACACGGTGGCGCTGTGTACAACAGAACGCAACACTGCGGCCATCCTCACACGGGTTACCTGTGAACCCATCGCTGCGCCACTGTGGCAATCCATCTCACCCAGGGGCTTCCTCCTTCTCAATGATCCTCTGCTTGATGGACCAGATGTCCTTCCCCAGGGACTGGTCCCTCCTGATCCCATGTGCAAGTCCACGAGACGGAGTCTCCCCATTCTCACTTCCAAGGAGTCTTCGGGCTGCACTTCGTCCAAGACAGCTTTGCTCTCTCTTCTGCCAGTCAGTCCATGGCACATCGACACGTCTTCACCACCACCGTTCATTCAATCTCATCAGTTATCTTCCACCCTTCTTGGCGCACAGTCCGGCTTTCACGTGCCTATGCGGCCACGCGGTCGTGGGAAATGTCCTGGCTCGGGTCAGGGGTATGGTTGACACCTTCTTGAAGTAGCCCCTCACCAGGGAGCGCGCATGTGCGTGGGAAGCCGCGTGTTTCTCCATCAAGGCGACCGCTTTGCTCTCTAACGTTCTTTTGCAGCAGAGGTGCCCCACGCAGGCTCACCGCTGGCTTTCTCGGCGGCTGCTTCCATGAGCACTGGCTGCGGATCCAAGTAAGCCCCCCTGACAACTTCCCCAGGCCCCATCTGTTCATCATGGTGGGATTTATCGGTCCACCTTCTTGGCTACCTCCTGATCGTGGAGGCCCTGCTCTCCTGAGGATGTCCACCTTCTTGGCTACTTCCTGATCGTGGAGGCCCTACTCTCCGGAGGATGACCTTATAACTTTGAGTTCGGCCCCAAGTGTACAGAAATGGATTCTTCCTCACTGGCCGGTGAAGCAGCCACTCCCACTCTGTAGCTCTGGACCAGGTCTGGGCTTGGACTACCGTGGTCGCTGTGGTTCGCTGATACAAAGGCGCGGTGCGAGTCTCCGGAGGTAGAAGACTTTCTCTCGGGAAGCTGCTCACCCCTCTGACCTCACACCGGAGTCACTGGGGTGGTGGTGGTGGTGGTGCTGTTGAGGTCCCTGGGTGGCACAAGTGGTTTTGATCAACCTCTACCCTGAAGGTCGTCAGTCCCAAGCCACTCAGTGGTGCCAAGCCAGAAAGGCCTGGTGATCTCTTCTACAAAGATGGCAGTGAAGCCGAGCCTCAGGAGCAGTGATACCAGGAGCACCGGGGGTTGCCACGAATCAGAGTCACGTTCCTGGCAACGGGCCTGGGTTGTCTGGTGTGGGGGAACGTGTGAACAGCCCAATCCCTAGGCTGCAGCCAATGATATAAACCAGGGCCTTAGGATTGGTCTGGCATGAGGATTTGGAAAAACTCTTCCATTGTTTCCAATGGATAGCCAAGGCCCTTGACTAGCTACTCTAAGTGGAGTCGTCCCCCCCACTCCCCCCCACTTTTTAGCATCACCTGGGAGCTTGCATAAGCACACCCTACTCAAGCTCCTCCCAGGGCTGGCCAGTTAAAATCGGCTTGAGCAAGGTCTCAGTGGGTGGATGTTCTATCACAGTGGCAGGTCATCGGTCACCTTCACCTACGAGATTTGGCCACACAGCTGAGCACACTGGCCGCGGCGGTCCACACCAGCATGGGGTTTTTGTGTCCCGGTGCTGGACAGGCGGTGGACCCTTTTCTCTGTTGAAGCTCATTTCCTTCAGCCCCGAGACTTATTCTTGTCATGGGCTGTGGACAATTTTCTCTCCCTGTCGAGTGTCTAATTAGCCAAGTTTGTACCATGTACTTTGGACCCGTCCCTGGAGAAGGGGACTTTCATGCTCGGTAAGGGGGGGGGGGGGCAGTGTGATGGAGGAAGGCCGTCCACAAGGGGCACTACACAGCAGCTGCAGGCGGGGCTCAGGCAGAGGCAGAGGAGGGCCCAGGACACAGGTTCCTATGGTTTTGCCTAAGGGTGCTGTGGCTCTCCACTAGCTCCAGGGCGCCTAACAACACCTTTTTGAGTCCAATTCCCTTGACTCCTCCCCGCCCCCTCTTTGGACAATTTCTCTGGTTTTCGCGTTGCCCTTCTGGGAAGATGGTCTTTCATCTTGTGCGCCGCCTGCCCTCCTAATACATTTTAAGACTTCTGGTGTTGTGTACATTTTAATTTCTATTCTAATTAAATTTTAATGCATCTTTTCAGAAAAAAAAAAATATGTTGGCTTCGTGGATACAATTTCCCCAGGGGAATACTGCCTCCTTCCTTCTGCGTCTTGGGGTCTGTGTGTTTTCCGTTAGAGCAGCGGTTCTCAACCTTCCCAATCTGTGACCCTTTCATACAGTTCCTCATGTGGTGGTGACCCCCCAACCATGAACATATTTTCCTTGCTACTTCATAACTGTCATTTTGCTACTATTATGAATCGGGCAACTGCAGAGGAAGGGTTGTTCAACCTGCATAGGGGTCGCGACCCACAGGTTGAGAACCACTGCTTTATAGGTTCTCTGTCAACGCTCAGTACTGCAGCTGCCACGCTGACCCAGGGAACCGACAGGAAGCCTGCACCTGCGGGCGGCGGGGCTTGTGGACGGGCGCTGCTGCAGGACTGGGCCGAGCCTAGCTGTCTCACTGTCCATCTGTTGATCTTTCTCTGGTTACTTCCCCAGAGAGACAGTACAATTGCCTGCCTTTCGGGTAAGTGGATGGGGAATCGCCTTGGCTGTTAGTAGGGGGAGGGGGTGGACGGTCTCCCACGAATCCCTCCCGTTTCTGTTAGGTGTTTCACTCCTAGTCTCTGGGGTGTGTGGGGGGGTGTCCACAGCCCAGAATCATCCTGGTTTTGCCTCAGCAGGGAGTAAGCCTGTCTGCTACCTGGATCAGGGAGGGCCAGTCACCAGATTGTGTGGGCCCAAACAGCTTCTTTTTGAACATTTCATCATGGTTTAAGTTACAGAGTATATTAGATTTCCATTCAACAATCTACCCCCCCCCAAACAATCCTTACATGTCTTGTCTGGGGGCGCAAGTTGCTCTCCTCTCTACGAAATACATTCCCCACTTGTGCCTTGGGTTCCCCCTTTCTTCCTGCCCTGATGGCCTCCTGAGCTTTGTTTGGGGGTCCCATTTCTTTTAGCCACTGGGATTTTCAGGGCCACCCAAGGGGTACCTGCCTCCTCCAAGCTCTGATCATTTGCGGGTGTGTGCGGGGGAAATAGCTTGTTTGTGGCTGACTTTCTCTCCTGGAGATGTTTTAAGGATGGGTCAGCGTGAGCAGGAGCCCTGGGGGGGTGGGTAGTGGGCTGCTACCCTGTAAGGTCAGCGATTCGAAGCCACCAGCCAGCTCTGAGGGAGAGAGATGAAGCTTTCTCCTCCCATAAAGAGGGGGAGTCTCAGAAACTCAGAGGGCAGCTCTACCGGGTCCTACAGGGTCGCCGTGAGTCAGAATTGACTCGGTGGCAGGGAGTTTGGTTTTGAGAAGCTGATAGGACACAAGTCGCACTTGTCCACCATCCCCAGTGTGCCCGCCACCTCTGGCCGGCTGCCACCTCCCTCCTGGTGTGCGGTTTCTGCGGTCTTCACTCCTTCACGTCGCGTGACTGAGGTTTGGGAAGCAGGGGAGACAGGAAGGTGCTCAGCCTGTCATATCGAGTCAGAAGCTCCTGCTTGTTGAATGTTTGTCCGTGCGCTTGCACGAGTCTGTCACTTGTCTGTGCCTCTCCAACTCAGCAACCAAACGCACTGCCATCACGTCGGTGCTGACTCACGGGGACCCTTCAGGACAGGGTCGCACAGCCCCTGGGGTTCCGAGGTAAGACCTTTTCACGGGAGTGGAAAGCCTCCTCCTTCTCCCTATGCGCACTTATAGCGGCTTTTGTCCGGCCTCGAGCTTTCTCTTCCGCGTTGAGGGTGTGTGCGTGTGGTTCTTTCTGCCTGAGCCCTTGCCCGCGGCGTAGGAGGTGTCCCCGAGAATCAGTGCACCGCATCCCCCGCCCACTTCTCCATTGTTGCCCCTTCGAAAGACAGGCGACGGGGCGCTTGGACCAACACACTGGCTCGATGCGAATGTTAATCTTTAGTGCTTTAGTGCTGAAGCGTAACGTGGCAAGGGCAAAATCAGCTATTGAGGGGGTCCTGGGGGCTGGGGAGGAAAGGGGGCCCCTCCGGAACTAGGCACATGCGGTGTGCATTATGGCCGGGGTGGGGGAGCTGGGAGCCGGAAGGACAAGGATGGGAGGGCGTGGACACCAGCGCGCGTGCACACACTCACACACTCACACACACGCTCGCTCTCTCTCTCTCTCTCTCCAGAGAAGGGTTTTCCAGAGGCATGGACCAGTGCTTTGAATTAAGTACTTCTCATGCCAAACTGAACCAACTGAAAGGAAGTGAATTCACCGCTTAGGGGAGCCGCTTGCTGGGCCAGGGACTCTCCTAGGCTGCTCTTGAGTGAGTGCATGTACGGTCCCATCGCTGGAGGGGGTCTTTGGTCCCACCAGCTGAAGAAGCGGATCCAAACCAGGCAAAGAAGTCCAGCCCAGAGGCCGGTGGCAGTGGCAGCCCCTGGGTGAGCCGTGCCCCCGTAGGGACACTGCCCCTGCCTCCTGAGCTGGGGAGCGGATAGGAGGGGGTCTCTCCTCCCACCTGCTCTTGGCTCCAACTCGTCCACTGGGGCTCCCAGCCAGTTCATTGTTGAAAGACAGCGGTCCGAGTGCTCTTCCTTCCTGCCCTGCATGCGGAAAGCCCCGCTGGGAACTGCAGTGCATACGGGAGGCCTCGCAGGACAGGCTGCAGGTCCTTCCAGCCTGGACCCGAGACAGGTGCAAGCTTTAAACACACACACACACACACACACACACACACACACACACACACACACACACACGGGGCGGGCGGGATGGAGTCTGTAAGGGGCTAATAAATAAAGGGGCTGGGGAGGGGTGGCGGTGGCGGTGGCGGTAGAGAAGGACTCCCAAGAGAGAAAGGCACTAGGTGGGGGTGGGGGAAGCAGACTCAGGCCCACCTCCCCAAACACTGGTTTGTTGGGTCAGAGGTCACCACCGATAGGGTGGCTGGCTGCGGGGGCGGGGAGGGGGGCGAGGACCAGCTGGAAGGGAGCTGTGAAGACCGGAGGTCTGGCTCCAGCTCTCAGCTCTTGGCATCTCCCGGGGGACATCGGCTCTGCCCTGGTGGAGGCCACCTCAGCAGCGGGGACTCGCCCAAGGGTGTCGCTTGCCTTTGGGAGACAGAGAGAGGAAGAGAGACAAAAGGCCACCACTGGGTGAGCGTGTGCAGGGGGGCTTAGCCTTCGGGGACAGCACGGAGACCGTGGAAATTGGCGGACTCCCAGCGGGGACAGCCCAGGCACCTGAGGCTGCGTCCTTGGCAGGCAATTCACCGTGGGGCTGCCACCCTGCGTGGGGGAGTGCAGCACGACCCCACTAGGCTGTGTGCCCACAGGCACCCATTCCCCCCCCCCCAGTATCAGTGTGCCAACAAGGGCCACCTGAGGACCCTGCAAGGGGCAGAAGGGCGGAACGGTGAAGCTTCGCTCAGGGCCAGTCCCCTCCAGGTGGCCTCTTTTTAAAAATACTTTTACTGGGGGCTCTCACATCTCCTATCACACTCCATATAACCCTCCAGTGTGTCAAGCACATTTGCACATAGGCCACCATCATCATTTTCAAAGCATTCTCTTCCCACTTGAGCCCCTGATATCAGCTCCCCATTTCTTCCCCCGCCCTCCCTCATGAACCCTGGATAAGTTATAGATGATTTTTCCATAGCTTACATCGCCCTCCATCGTCCCCCACCCACTTTTCCGTTATTCGTCCCCCTGGGAGGGGGATCTAGGTTGATGCTTGTGATCAATTCCCCCTTTCTCCTCCGACTCTAATCCTCCTGGTATCTCTACTCCTTGTTGGCCCTGAGGGGTTTATCTATCCCGGATTCCCTGTGTTTCGGGCTCTTATCTGTAGCAGTGTGCATGCTCTGGTCTAATCAGATTTATAAGGTAGAATTGAGGTCATGCTAGTGGGGTAAAGGAAGCACCAAAGAGCTAGAGGAAAGTTGTGTGTTTCATCGGTGCTATACTGCACCCTGACTGGCTCATCTCTTCCCTGTGACCCCTCTGTGAGGGGATGTCCAATTGTCTACAGATGGGCATTGGGCCTCCAGGTGGCCTCTGAAGCCATGGCCTTCCTTCCACGTGCTCCCGCACAGCCAGATCTGACCCGCCTCTCCCAAGGCCCTGTTCACAGAGGACACACCACAAAAAGGCCACGTCATGTGGGCAACTCATTTGCCCAAGAGGCACTTGGTTCTCATGCCGGGGAGCAGAACCCAGGCCTGATCCCCAACCTGTCCTCTGTGCAAGGCCTTAGGAGGGGGCTGGGAGGGTCAGAGGGTTCCCCACCCCCAAGCCCAGGGACGACGACTTCCCCTCCCAGGGTGCCTTGCACCCCAACCACAGGTACAGTCTCAGGAACCAGAGGGTACAGTGGTGTGTGTTTGCGTGCCCACCTTCCTGGGAGAGCAGCCAGCAGAGGGTAGCTGCCTGTGAGGATACACGCTGCCCCTGGGAGGCACCATCCCTGCCCTGCAGCCCAGGCCTGGCTGGCAATAGACAGAGGCACGCGCCCATGGGCTGACCCTTTGGGTGAAGAGCCCCCGGTGCAGCTCTTGTCTCATAGGAGACTGGAGGACAAACCAGACCGGCCTACTTTGCTCCAGTTTGAGTGTGGGGAGTCCTTCCGCCTTGTCTCAGTTTTCACACTTATCAAATGGGGCCACTTTATCAAACGGGGCAAAGACTCCTATCTATCCTGCCCAGGGCAGCCCGTGGGCACTCTCTTCTGACCTGAGTCTGGTTTTCCCTCAGCCAGGCTCAGTGGGTTGGCTCAGCCCCTGGGCAGGCTTCTTGAGGACAAGGACCATGCCTCCCCTGCACGGCACCCCGTCCAGGTGGGGCACAGGATGGGGCTTGTGAGGACGTGACTGCCAGGCCCTTGGGAGGTGCTCTCGGACTCAGAGTTACCCTGACCATCATGAGGACGGGAAATGCTTTGAACAATGCTACCCCTTCCGCAGCCCTGGATGGTAATAACGGTGCACACCATGACCGAGAATGGAGAGGGCCATTATCATGATGGTTACCTTGGGTCCCTCTGGGCTCATTGCAGGTGGGTGGCTGCTCCCCCAGCGCTTAGCATGGTGCCCAATGAACAGGGAGAATTAGAAGTGTCACCTGCTACTCACCGCTTTTAGGTGGGGTGGGGGAGCTGAGTGGGAGGGGAGAAGAGGGGCATGGGGGAGGAGCAGCAGGAGAGGGCAGGGGGGAGGGTTACCAGAAGCAGCTTGGGACTCACCTGCGCCCTTTGGGTCAGGCTGGGGTGAGGTGCCCCCCTGTGGGTCTGCAGAGCCTGCCCCAGTCTCACTGGCCAGGCTGCTCTGGCTCCCAGAGAGGTGGCTGGGCGGGCGGGGCAGCCCCATCCTGGGTGACTCCGTGCTGCCACCTGCAAGAGACCACACGTGGGTCCTGTGGCTCCATGCTGGCCCTGTGGACCTCGAGCTGAGACAGGGATTAGTTCAGCTCAGCAGGCAGCGGAGCTAAAAAACCTTGCCATTTGGGATGTAGTGGGAAGGTCTGCCCTCTACCCCGGGGGGGCTGCCACTCCCCCACTCCCCCACCCTCCCTGTGTGCTAACCTGACCCCACCCGGCAGGTCCAAGGCATCCAAAGGCAGCAGACTGGGGGCCCTCAGGTCATGTCACTAAGTGTCAGGCAAAGTCACCATCAGGACAGATAGATGGCAATTACTCATTGTTCTCATCCTCCCAGAAAGAATGCATGAAGAGGATGCATTTTTAATCAACCCAGAGAAAGATGAGTGGCTGCTCTTACTAACAAGACTCTTCATTCCAACAGGCCTGTTAGTCTTGCGTGACCGGCAGGCAGACGTGGACTTGCGAGGCTGCAACAAGTCTTCCCGTGTTGCCCCCCACCCCAGTCAGCGTTCAGCGACAGTGTAGGGGGCAGAAACTATGGGAGGGGTGGGACGGAGGGTGAAACCTGCCCTGGACATCCAGACTCATGGTAACGTTCTTTTTGAAACATTCCTGACATAGACCCTTTGCTCTAAAGGGGCCTAAGAGACCCTCTAGTCCAAGGACAGTTTGCAGCTCATGTTATCTCCACCAGTTGACCTCGGCCCCTTGGCGCAAACTGCACTCAGGAGGATGCTGAGGCTCCATTAGGGAGACGTGGGAAAGACCATCACAATCAACTAGTCATGTCTGTCAAGGGCATAGGCGTGGGTTATGGTAGCACCTATGCTAGGCACTTGCTGCCTCTGATCTAGTCCCCAGTCCCAACTGTCAGGAATTCACTGTACGTGGACGGGCTCTGGCAGAGGGTCTCCCAGCCTTGGCTTCAGGATGCCACCCCCTCCCCCAAATGACATACACACAAAGCAATTTGTTCCCCTTGGGGACAGTTGCTATAATGATCAAGCTGTCCTCTGAGACACCGAAACCAGCCTCTTTGCAACTTCTTTCAGAACACAATTCTAACTTCTGGAGCAGCTTAGAATAAAGCGGGTCCTTTTCCCTGGGGAGGCCCTTCTGTTTCAAAGGGGAGAAAAGTGTGCCCTCAGGCCGTCTCTGCTCCAGCCTCAACACCCCAGGGAACACTGTTGCCACCGGGTGAGCTCAGAGATGTTAAATTCAAAAGAAA